CCGACGGACGGAGAGCTGGCACATCAATGGCACCCGCCGCTGCCGCCCGGGTGGCACGCTGGCATACAGCGGTACTTGAGGCGAACAGGGACCGGATCGCCACTGGAGCGTGCGTGTCGTTCAGGGCCTGCACCACAGCGAAACTGTCACACTGGGTGAAAAGGTTGCTAACGCCGTGCCAGCCCAGCGATTGGAAAGTCGCCTCCATCGGATCTCGCCAAGGAGCCCCGGTGACGATCCTGGCCGCAAAGTTAATCACACTCTGCACTCTGTTTAGATGGCACGCTACAGTCTCATCCCAGACCGAGAGGCAGTGCAGAAGATAAGGGAAAACGTGGGACTGGGTAAGCAGTTCACGAACCTCGCGGGTAACGCAATGACCAATTTCATACCAAGGAAAAGATATAATTACACCTTTTGACAGCAGAGAGCCGCCTCTCACCACCTGCCGCCGACCAGCAAGATAGCTCTCAAACCACCTCGGGTCCATGTCATGCACTGCAGCTTTGTCAACAAGACGCCATGGTCGTCACTATGAAAGCCACGGCTGAGTTGCTGAGTTCAATGGAGATAACGGCGACGATGTGACCAACGTCAAAACGACGTACCGTCCACTCCACGTTGTCGACTAGGATGTCTTCTGTTGAGTGAAAAGGTCTGTATGCGTCCTGTGATGGAGCCAAAAAAGATCCTGTAAACGAGGTGGTACGACAGCGGCATGCACGCGACTTTTTCAAAAAAAAAAATTGACATTACATGCGATGTCAATAAAAGTATAAAATTACTAGCGATGCCACAAGGGCCAAACTTGCGGACAAAGGAAACATTTCAGCCATTGGCGGTAAATACAAGCAGCGACAAAGCCATTGATGAAATGAAGCAAATGTGGTCTGCCAGCAGGGAAACACCTACGTAAGACATGTGGTAGCACACCGTCAAGTGGATCGTCATCATTGCCTCGTGCATAGCCCTCGGTGGTTCGGGCCGTTTCGTACGAGGCAGTCTTATCACACTCATTGTCAGTCAGGTCACATTCGGCGGCTTTGGTGGAAAAGGGTTTCGGCGAGGCTGCCCGCTGCCACTTGGGCAGCAATGCCCGGGCCGACTGAAGCAAAGTGCCGGTTCAAGAAGTCGTTAAAAGGTGCCGGTTTAAAGTGCTAGTTAAAGTGGCGATTAAAGTCGTGTAGGTCAAGAGAATGCTCCACATTTGAAGATCATGAACCGCACGTCGGATATGAGCAAATGAGTTTGCTTATAACTATAGGGATATTCTGGTGTGGAAGAAATGCTCTACACAACAAAACGGTTCTATTTAGTAGGTTTGCTCCTCGATACATCATTGTTTTATTGCGTCGTAGAATGTTTCCTATGACGTTGAGGTGCGGCAAAACCGATCGTGTGAAATTGCCTCCCTAGCACTCCTTTGTTGTATTTCAATCTCCTGAGAGTTGGTGTGACAATGCTGGAGATGTTTACTGAACCCAGGGCATTAGAACACTGGGTACTTCCAAAGTTTTGACTAGTAGGTATCGACACACACTATAAATATACCAGAATGGAGATTAACACCGGATTTAGTATATTATACGAAAGAGTGGCAGTGCTGTGCTAGCGGCATCTTTGGTTCGTTTGTGGTGATTAAGTGTGATCACGTTTCTCAGTCACAAAACGCTTGAGGTGCGGTGCGGTAGCGTGGATTGGGGTCAGGGGATCAGATTGTGTGCAAGTAATTCAGATGCCTCTAGGTTAAACTGATGTGTGCTATTCTTTGCCAAGCCATATTATGTCTCACTTTTCATATCGTGACTCACTTTAAACATTCTGCATCAAAACTGATCATATAATGAGCCAACTACTGCACAGCGAGCCAGTTATGAATATTGTGGCATAGGCTACCGGCTGTTGAGTGCTGCATGCGAAGTGATTGGTCAAGGCGTTCTCAGGTATATTTATGTTGGGGATCTTGTCATTTTGTAATGTATGAAAGCCTTAATTGTTGTCTGATTTGCATCTGAATATCAACATATGCAGCGATACCCTTTATTCACAGAGGTGTTACCACCTATGAAATGGACCAACCAGCAGTTATGTCAATTCAGCACAGCTGTGTGATTGCATTAGATGCATTTATTGAGAAATGAATGTCCCTTTAAGATAGTGGATATGCTTCATATGATGCAATGTTGTGGGTATATCTATCATTACATTTCACCAAATGAGTGATCAGTCTGCACTGTTTAGAAGTAGGTCATCCGGTGTCAAAACTTAGCTGTTTTCTGACGCAATTCAGCTTGTGTGAAATTATAAGGTTGCATTTTTCCAGATGAGAACAATCAATGAGTGCAACTTATTGGTGGGCTGTGCTGAGGGCGATATTGAACCAAATATCTTTATTTGTTCTGTTATGTCTGAAAATCGTGCTTACGAACGCCAAATATGAACGGTTCGACGTTTATATTCATCTTGTCCTTCAACGTCGCATGGCCAGTGGAGTGGCAAGATTTAAATGACGTCATTATTGCGTGGTGGATGCGTGTGTGACCTTGAAATAGTCTTCACGAAATAGTCCGTATGTATGCGCGGGCGTGTAGCTAAAAAACTAGAAAGCTTAAAGTATTAAGAAGGGCACGGCGGTTAACTGCACGGCATGATCTTCAAAATGGTTATTGCATTTGAAAACCTCATGCTGATGTGAGACATTCCCTTTAAAGGGTGTGACTATACGTGAGATCCTGCAGCATGATCTGACCGGACCACTCTCCGGCGCCCCTCCCGTCAACGCCATCGTTATCTACAGTGGGCCGCAGGGCACCGCGGCGCCGTATATCTGTTTGCGGTGTCAGTCGGTCGGATGGCCCATTTCCAACGAATGGGTCGTTCGTACGGGCTGGCAGCGCGGAGCGCGAGGCGCCCCGAAGAGACGGCCCATCCCTGGCCGGTCGTCGTGCCGCAGGTCAGCCCGCGGGCGACCGTCAGAACACCGTGAGGCTGCCGCCGGTGCAGCTCGAGGTGGCTCCCAGCCTGCCTGACGGCGATGAATCTGCTGATGTGCCGCCCCTGATGTGCGGAAGCTGTAGAGCGTGTTTCGATTTCCGCCGGGGGTCGGCGCCGCCCACGATCGTTTTCAGAGCGGAGCTGGCATCTGTGATGTGGCTGCAGCCGCGGCCCCTGACGAGACGTCAATACAGCTCTGCCGACCCGGGCTCGGTGCTGGCTGCAGAAACGTCTACCGCACAGCCGACAGCGACCAGATGGGCAGTCGGGTATTCTGTGTGGTCCTGGTTGTCTTTAGTGATGCGATATTGGCAACCGAGTTTGGATGAGATGATAAGGCTTGTGTCTGTCACTTCTAGCTCTGTCATGCAGTGGACAATGCATGTGGCTTCGGTCAGTCGAATTATTCCCATGGTAGAAAAGGTTTCATTCTGTCTCTTGACACTGGTGATGATGCCAATGTGGTTTAAGTTGGGATACCGTTTTTGTGGTCACCCGGAATTAATATTTAACGTACGCAACGTGATTGAAGGCAACATCCCGCCTTCTGGGCATATTTCAAAAGCATACTCTTGGGAAAAGTCAGAACCTGTTACGTCTGATAAAAGCCGTGGATGGTGCCACTGCAGTAACGTTAAGACGTCGTAAAGATGTCAATTTTAATAATTTCCCAGTCCAAATGGCGCCGTTAACGCTTAGAATCAGAACCACAATTCTTCCCTACAGTCGCGACCGCCGTTGTCATGACAACCGCCGAGGCACCTCTCAGTGCGAATAAAAGAACGTTCTTGGTTGGCCCAGCGGGCGGCAAAAGCCTGTTGCCAAGAAGCACATTGGTTGAAGTTTTAACCAGTGCATCAATATGGAACATGTGATAGTCGAATTCCCCATGGCAAAGAGCGCCTCGAAAACATCGCGGTGGTAAACGCCATAGGAGAGAAATCAAAGCCAGTATAACGTTTGGTTGAAATCGCGGGATATTAGCTTGACGTTCGCATGTTTTTTCTTCTTAATAAAATGCTCCAAACTTTCGTAGCATTCAGTATACAATAATTTTGACAAACTAGTGTGTTGCCAACACTACAGAACACAGACGGGGGAAAAGCCAGGTAAATTAAATGTTTTACTTTCATAGTGGTGGACAGAGTTAAATGAATAACATACGCAGGAGTAGTTACTCCAAATCAAAGTTCTCAGCTATCTAAAAGGATTTCACGCGAACTGGTGTTACTGATCAAATCGTACCTTTCCGATCTAACTGCAAGTGATAAGTACAAAAAGGTGGCGCACTCCATTTGATTCCAAGATACGCCGTCCGAATGCGACGCTGTAACTGGCACGAATCTGTAAATCAAGAACAAAACGCAAGGCGAGATTCATCAACGGCACTTCGCTCAGTCTGTACATGTGTTAGATGCATTCCAGCCGACCAATTCTCGTTGATTGCCTGTCTGTGGCCGTCCCAATAGGCCTGCCAGCCCCGGGCGTTCAGCGGTGTGTTCTGGTCGGTGGCACTGATTACATCTTCGGTGGTCTCCAGCTGCTCGCTCGTGTGACGACTGGTGTCATGTGACAACTGTTGTCACATGACGACTGTTGTCATGTGACGGCTAATGCCATTTGACGGCACTTTATGTCACGATTAAGGTCATTTGACGACTGGTGTCATTTGGTTACTTGTGTCATGCGACGGATGGCGTCATGGTGTCATATCACGACTGCCGTCATATGGCGAGTGATGTCATTTGACGACTGGTGCTATTTTATACTGGTGTCAGACTAGCATTATGTAACAACTGATGGTATATGACAACTGGTGTACAAAAGCCGAACATTGGCATACCTTCTCGCCACATGTCTGTGTTCGCGGTGAGGCAGACGATACAGGAACAAACAAAATAAATGCTGAAAACCAGGGCCGCGCCGGTGTCTAGCTGGTCAGCGGTTTTGTTACCCTCAACAGCTCGGACTATCGCCGAGAAGAAAAAAAACTATTTGGTCAGGCTCTGGCTGGAGTTCAGCACTTTATTGCCAACGCCTTACAGGGCACTCAAGTTGCATTCGTCACTTTTCACTTGAATCATCTGCAACAAACGGCCACAGGACGCTGTAATGGTAAATGCACTTTTATGCAGAAGACTGACCTAGTATTGTGCTACAGGCAATAATTTCAGGCCCCAATCGATGAATGTTGATATCCCCACCCCGTTTCACAACTTATCCATTTTACTTTCGGCTGCAAGATATTGCCGTGCTAGGTGATATCATGGGTCGCGCATATCAAATTTTTACTGCGCACCGAGATTCATGTTTTACAGGAAGCCAGCTGGTTACGGCAAAACAGCGGATGACAATTACGAAAACATGAGGCCTTCGCAAGAAAAAAACTAACAAACAGCGACGCATCCTTATATAACTACTGTCTATGATCAATAAGCCGGTGCACGTAACAAAAAGAAGTCGCAAGCGCTTAAATAACACTGAACACATGTTTCGCACAGTAACGCGCGCTCGAAGCGGCACGCCATGCAGTCGCGTAACACACATCGGCATAAGATTTATCCCACCACACAATACGGCATTCACTGAAATAAGTACCAGACAGAACGGGAATGACCTTTTGATTGTTCGTCATTGACGGCTGGGTGAGCGTCAGCCATCCTACCAAGGATGCGGCAGACGCGCAAAAGCTGCGTGAGGGCTCACTGGCTGGCCAGCGGCCTCCTCAGCACTGAGATCATCTGGACTAGCAGCGGAATGCAGCTCTTTGGTGCGTGGACACTGGATGACAAGGGATGCACCCGGTGTGCACCGCTCACCGGACACCGCCAGTGTCCACTGGCCACTCACCAGCACAAAATAGTGATAAGTTCATGGCAACAGAGCGTTCTCGTTTGCAATGCCGCGACACTGTCCGACGCGTGGCTGCAGCAAAGCGACCTGGTGGCGCAAGCTGAGACGCAAGTTCCAGATGTCGCCAAGAGATGTCTAGACGGCCAGCCACCGTGACGTCACCGTGAGAAGACCGGCGATCGTGAGAAGGCTGCGGGTCGTGACGCGTGTCGCGGCACCGGTCTGCATCGCCGCTGGGTACTCGTCTGCGGCACCACAAGACGAGTTGTGGAGGGGGCGCAACATCGCACACAACACCACGCCAGATGCTCGTCAACGTCAAGACGACGCGGTACTTCATGGACAAACAGCTGAAGCGAGCTTTACATGCAACGGACGGTGTTTCAACATAACGCCTGTGGACCCGGCCCTGATGCATCGCCACACAGATGGCCTTAAATTTTCCCTAGCACAATCATCTCTGTCGCACGTTGAGCGATGGAAGCCGCCGGCTATGCCATATGGTACCTGTAAACGTTGCGAATAAGGCGCATGCACGTGATACGGCAATCGGCACGTCGCTATTGAATTATGCGCGTAAAATTCGCCACAAAGCTCCACTTAAAAAAACAAATATAGACGTGCGAAAAGTCAAACCATCTACAGCTTTCCTTAGTGCTCGTGATACGCCTGAGAGCACGCACGTGCTACCTCACCGCATGTGGTTGCGAGCCGATACAAACAAATCCATCAACACCGAAAATTCTTGGAGGCGTATCACTGTAAGACGTTCTCATGCGTATATATATATATATATATATATATATATATATATATATATATATATATATATATATATATATATATATATATATATATATATATATATATATATATATATATATATATATATATGTGTGTGTGTGTGTGTGTGTGTGTGTGTGTGTGTGTGTGTGTGTGTGTGTGTGTGTGTGTGTGTGTGTGTGTGTGTGTGTGTGTGTGTGTGTGTGTGTGTGTGTGTGTGTGTGTGTGTGTGTGTGTGTGTGTGTGTGTGTGTGTGTGTGTGTGTGTGTGTGTGTGTGTGTGTGTGTGTGTGTGTGCACGTGCGTGTATATGATATACAGTAAATTACAAGATCTCCTTGCTTCTCCTATGCCCCGTATTTCTTGAAAAGGCTTCGTTTGACCCCGGTTTAGACCACTGGTTGTCTGTCCTATCGAAAAGTCAGTTGGGTTTTCTGGCTAAGCCCTAACCCATCGTGCATCTTGAAAGCTAGCCACTTTCTTAAGCCAAGATTAGACTTGATTCAGTGAAGTGCACATACCGATGCCATTGACAGGCATCGTTATTTGTTTTTCACAAGCGTAATTCTTGCACATTCTACTTCACAGTCAGGAAGTATCAAATGTAACAGATCTGGCGCACCCTCGGCACGAGTCCTCCATCGCCGGACGGCGGCGGCAAGTCGATCTGCGTGGCAAATTATCTAGGATGCCGCCTGCGAACTTTGGCGCCTCTGAAAACAGCAGTTACCTCTCTTTGCTGTTCATATGTTTCATGTCCGATTTCACGCTTCTTACCTAACCCGACTGCGCCGATTGTGCTCATGGTATTAAGCTGCGCCATTGTAATAAGTTTTCTGAAGACGCTGGTACTCTGGGTCTGGGTGTATGCACGTGGACGGCTTGCACCTGCAGTTTGACCCCAGCTGGTGCAATATTGCATCGTTTTCTCTGCCCAGATATCCCATCTTGACCCAGGCATGCTCCCTGACGTGAGATTGACTTTGCCACTCCTACCGTCTTCACAGTTAGGAGGATAGCCGTATAGCATGGCTTGCCACACGAAGCACGCAACCATCCTGGTGCTCGGGCAGAGCACACTTCGCAAAACAGTGGTCTGCGTCTGCGACACATACAAGCACGTTAGACCCGTCCTAGAATACAGCAGTGTTGTCCGGGCAACCGCAACGCCGCAGTGGTCATCCAACTTAAGCGTTTGAAGGGTGTCCACTACAAGTTCCTTTAGTGGCTGGCTTCTGTACCAGGCACGTTTCATGCAAACATTAATCACGGCGCGCCTTTATCATAGTTTGATATGTGTCGTATTAAATCTCGACCTTATACAACGTGTAGGGTCGAGATTTACATATCACAATGCCCTTTTACAACGTATACTGCAATCAACCTAACTGTCCAGGTTTGTCCAGTGTCCGGGCTGTCCGCGCCTCTTGGCCATTTTGGTCTTTTTCGGGGCTGCCATGGGCTTCGTATACAGTCCTCAGTGCGACATTCGACATGCCCCCTCCGCAAGTATTGCCTTTCTGAATTCCAACAGAACTGTTGATTTCTTTTCGGTCTCGCACCATTCTCGGCAGGTTCTCAGGGTGCCGGGATGTTCGGGTGCATATATGTAAGACGATATGGTACCAGGTTGAAGAGTGACTATTACGTCTCTAGCGACTATGGCTACTTATGTGTAAACTGTAAGCAAGCTCATCATTGCAAAACAATTTTGTGAGCTACCTAGTGACTTAGTTGCGTTCACCAATTTCAGTACAAGTGGACGCTCTGCTTTGTCGGCGCTCGAGCAGACGCCAACATACGATAGCCCCAATGAAGTTTTTTCTCATCTTTACATGACGAGGGCCCACAGACGGCCCCGCTCTCTCGGAAACGGAATAAACTCAACCCAACGGACAGAGCCATCGGCCAGCCGCGGGAAGCTGCACCAGATCAGTGTCATTGGGCATCCATACGAGGACTATCTGACAGGCAAAAGCATATCAGCAGAGTAAGATTATGGAAATCAGGTTTTTTTCTAGGCAGAAGCACGTTTGCTATGACCGTGAGGCAAGAGACATTATATATCAGCTAGCGCATCAAAGCATGCGACTATATCAAACAACCAGCAGTTGTGGACCTGGACACGTCAGATCACGTCAGACACGTCAGAACGCGTCTGACCTTGCGTGCATGCCTGTTACCGCATCTACTTAAGAATTAAGCCATGTTACGACAAGAAGGCGTGCTGCATTGGGTTTATTAAACTTCACCAAACAACGTTCATGCAATCTACAACATGTAACCTGGATCATCAAAGTAAGGAAGGTGCCTAGAATGTGTCTGAAATTTAGTGCATAAGAGCCCGTTCAAAATAGTAAGACTCAACCTGTTTGTAATATACATGACCATCCCATGATTTGGTACTTAGGCATGTGCCAAAACAATACAAGGAGGTCATTTACAACACAAATTTTAGGACAGAGGTATTATATCGGGCAAATGAATGCGAAATATGCAGACACTTCTTCAAAAATTCTGTCACGTAGCGTATAAAATGCAGCCTCATGATATTATTACATGCGTTGGAAAATGGCTTAAAAGTGAATCACCTAAGTTTCCTCACTATGAATTAAGTAAACCTAAAGTACTCCAAGGAATACCCCGCGATCCTCTGCGGCCTCTTCGCTTCGCGAACGATTGCGATGTTCTGCGTAAACACCATAAACATGAACAGAAATGCTGGCTTTGCCTGGCCCTGAACACCTGGTCAGACTCGCACCGTGTGGAGCCGGGCCGGGCCCCTGCGGCCTCCGGTCAAGAGCAGTGAAGAGGAGCTGATGCACTGGAGTCTAGCGGTGGAGGGCGATCACAACCCGGCCTTACCCGTAAGATGAGCGAAGTAGAAAACATTGGTGGGGATGAGATTTGTGATCTTCTGACCGCCAAGCATACCTTGAATTAAAGTTACCAAAAGGCCGTCGTATTATAGCCTGCTGTCTTACGACCAGAATTTCCTATAAAAATGCGTCACAAATTGGTATTCATCAGCTTGCGCATCACACATAAGGAATACAAAAGAAAACAAGAGAAAAAGAAAGCAAAAGGCTTCACGCCTGCCGGTAAACTCCGCCACCGAACCGTTAGAAAACGCCTTAGAGGAAGCGAGGGCTCAGACATAAAGCTATGTGAATACTTCAAGATGATAAATCGGCCAATCATGCCACAAAGGCTACAGAATATTCTGAAATACTCACTGGATTTGAGAAGTGCTATTCACGCTGAACTGATCTCACTTTAGACTATGAAAATGGCCATCGTTCTTTCAGGTTTACAGGCATGTAAACACGCGGAAGCGCACATTACATCTGATGGGTCTCCACATGAAATAACGGGTGTTACCATCCGTGTCGTAACACATTGCTCGTCAAACGTATTCAGAAATAATAAGTCACTAGGAAAGCGAAACAGTTCTCAGAGTCACAGAAAAAAGCAGAGATGCCTCATTTCATCCTGGGGCGCTTCTGGGTACTGAAAACCCGTTTAAACTTTAGTGGAGCCCGTTGCTACCGTGAATTGATCTTCTGGCCGCACATCGACGTCCCACCAAGTCCCCATAGACGGGCTAGTCAGCGTCTCCGCTCTTGTAATTCCGGCGGGCTCCAGACGGGCCCGTGCTTCATATGTGTCAAGGTGAAGTTGCGGAAAATCGTGTGCGGTGAAATCATGCACTACGTGTTTCTCGGCACGAAGTGATGCTGCGTAATGTGAGGTGTTGACACTTCCAATTAATAATTATATATGTAATTATTGTATATATATATATATATATATATATATATATATATGTAATGAACACATCGTCTTTGGATTTTGACTGAAGTGGTGTTTGGTGTGATTTCTTTGGCAGCATCAGTCGCTTGTATGTTCTGATGACATGACAATACTCGGCCCCTATACCTTGTCCTTCAAAAGTTTTTAAACCGTTACGAGAACTACGGCAACTAACACAATGCTATTTGTAAGACACAGACGGTGCGCGCAGCAAATCTATCTAAAATAAGTTCTAAGTTGGAGCTGATCAATCTTCATGCGTGCAAATATGCTTTGATGTGGGTAAGCGTGCTGAAATATTCTGGTTTTTGTACGTGATTCAGGTAAAGGATGCCATCGATGTGCCATCCAACAACGAGATCGCCTGATGTGGTGCCGCAAGCGTGTATTATCTGCTCGGTGTATTTTCTATGTGTTGTGCAGTAATGTTTTCATGCCAAACACAGCTCAAAGCTATGCAGAACTCGTGGAGGAGGTCGGATTCACGCAACAGTGCTTAGGAATTTCAAAGTACGTCATAGCAGTTACGTCAGCGTATGTTAAGCTCGTGCCAAGTTTTGCGCCGCCTCTACCACATTTACGTATGAGCGGCTAGATACTTTTCACGTTATATATTCGAAGGCGGCGCGTAAATCCCTTGTAGGTCTTCACACGCTACGAACAGTACCGAGACGTTCTCTTTTAACGGTGACATTCTAGCGAAGCCTCTGTTTCCTTCTAAAAATAAATTTCTGTCGCAGGCTCCTGCGTTTTCAATTTCTGACCTCCATAAAGCCGGCAACCAGACGCGAACTACACTGTAATGGCCAAAAAGTAAACATAATAAAGAATGAACAGCTATGGGCCATTATTGGACGCGCGCCTACCAACGCAACGTCGTAACGTCAAAGTCGCCGACCGGAAACAAGACGCAGTGCTCTAGCGTGGCTTGTTTTGCGGACGAGGCTTGGCGACTCCAGCTGAATATTACAGTGAATGCAGTGTTTGATGCATTTTTAGTGGCATGGTTTTGTGGAGCACAGAATCTTGATGGAAATGATCTTCCAACGGAGAAAGGTAATTCGTAAATGCATGTGTTTCCTGCTAGAGCATGACCTTAATCATACCCGGGACGCATTTATCAACGCTAGTCGATGCTGAGATCGCCATGGTTGGTCAACTCAGGTCGTTCATTATATGTAATCTTCCAGTTTGCGATATCTTCACCTCGCGTTGCACGGCGGTCAGTGGAACTAAGCTTCGCTCGACAAAGGTGTAGTCAAAGCTGCTTCTGTATCCGCTTCCTGGGACGAAGGCGTCGGAGGCCGCACTTGGGCCGAGGTCTCCTGTACTTTTTGGCTGTTCAAGACAAGACAAGACAAGACAAGACAACAAGACAAGACAAGACAAGACAAGACAAGCCAACGTAGGTCTTGCAAAATCAAGAACAGACGCGAGGCATCGGAATAGGATTCAGGCCTAAAAAGACCCTGCCGAACAGCACCCCTAAGCAGTGATGACGTCATAGCCTGGAAGGACCCATATGTCCCGAGTTCGCTCCCTTCTGGGTGAACTCATGGCAGCGTCAAACCGCATTCGTTGAGTCTTTCACAACATCCATGTTGATTATTGCGATAGGCGTCCACAGCTGATTATCGACGTTATATAACCAGAGGACTGGCGCGTAAAAAAGAACGGCAAAAATTGTAACGCAGTGTCTCAGAGGTGGCAGGAAAAGCGATTGCCTCCGTTAAACAAAGCAAAACGCAAAAAAGCACAAGCAGATATATGTAAAAGGGAAAACACCAGCCGTTATTTACCGCCATATAAAAGCACGTTCGGAGGATGGTATGAGAGCCATGTTAAACCCATTAAGATGCAGTTCAGCCACTAACTGTATGCAAATACTGTTGACCGAGAACACCTGGTTCAACCAAAGACTAGAGACCACATGACGCCAGTGCAACATCAAGATTACAGATGCTTGAGGAGTGGCACAATAATAGCACAGGATGCTATATTCCTTCGAGACCAAAGAACGTGACCAAAACGCTTGTCGTTTTTCTTCTGGAAGCAAGTTTCTGACTCAAGATTCCATTGCCAAATCTTCTGGACACAAACACTCAAGGACGAAGAGTTTGGACAAACTGTAGAGAACGATTGCACCAGTCCTCTCCAGAGACTACAATTAAGTTATCACCGCCCCCTCAGCCCGACCCTGCAGGAATAATGCGAGATATCCACCTGCTAGCGATGTAAACAGTTTCGACGACGATCTTCCTGGCGATGGTACCTGGACCCGCTCGACCGCCTAGACGTTCACGGTCCCACGGTCTGACAGTTGCTGTCACACCGCAGTGCCGTCGGTATTGCTGACGGATTGCAGACGGGTGTTGATAGATTAAACAATATGCAGTGTGAAGCTGACCACCAAAAGTGGCAAAAGCCCGATCAAGCTGAAAGAAATCAGGAAGCAACAGCTAGAACAGTTTGGTTGCCTGAAAGCCACTCAGTGGTCTGTATTTTGATAAGCACAGAAGAAAAAATATTCGATAGAAGTGCCTCAGACACCCCATGCGCACGTGGTGCGGCTCAGCTGATAGGTCATGATCACCGCCACAGATACACCTGCACCGGAAGTCACAATCGGTTCGATGCATCGTTCGCACGTAGGTAACGGCGATATACCCCGCACTTTAACTGTCCGGCGCCTATCCGCCACATCGCAGTAGCGCCTGCAATACGGTTTAACGCGCCGAGCGCCCAAATTGGCCACATTGGTCACATTCTTGGCCACAGGCCACAGGCCATAACCGCCTTTATCAATTCGGCAATTGCATTACGAGTGTAGCCATTGGCTCGCTCGCGCGGGAATACCTCGGGAGTCGCCTCAGCGGGTGAAGCATTTGAAGTGATGATGGGGCATTTGATGACGTTTGGTTTTGTTTCGAGAAAGTGGGGTCTATTAGCAGAAAGCTCGGAAGACTTCTTAACAAAAAAAAATCTTTGCATTTTTCGACCTTGGCACTCTAGGTTCCCGGTGTTGCTTCGGGAACAATTTACACGATATGCAGCAACGAAGCTGTAGAACAACGACGTTCACCACATCCGCCCTTGTATCATTACATTCGCCCTATTCTGAATCCCACGAGGCCTTGTTTGTCCGGGGTAGGCTACATACGCCAGCCATGACTGGGCCAAAGTGCCCCTGAAGGGCGCCCCGTCCGAGCGCCAAGCACAGTCCCCAAAGGGGTCCTTGTGCGGGCTTAGTCCCAGCGCATGGATTCCTAAGTGAGCAGAGCTCTGCCCACCGTTATCCACTCTCCTTCATCCCATACCCCTGAAATGGTCACGCCTGACAGAAAGGGATCTATTTCAACAGCGAAACCAACCAAGCGTGAAGCAAATTAACTGAGTGGGCGTCTGATGAACCGGTGACGCAGACAAACTAACTGAAAGAAGTATGTCTCTCCTTTCATGTTACCTCTCGATTGTGCCAATGTCTGGCACTTCCACAGCTTAACATTTACTAACTGAAAGAAATGAGTCTCTCCTTTCGTGTTACCTCTTGTTTGTGCCAATGTCTGGCACTTCCATAGCTTAACAGTTACTAACTGAAAGAAGTGAGTTACTCCTTTCATTTTGCCTCTTTTTATGCCAATGTCTGGCACTTCTATAGTTAAACATTTATGCTGGGGTGATTACTTCTTTCCCCACTCCATTTGCCTAAATCCACCAAGTATAGTACATCTGCCTAGGGCCTGGCTCTATTTCTTCCCACAATCGTATTTGACGTGTTCAGTGTGAGTGTTGACACGTAAGCTGCAAAGATAGTTTTACTAATTATTTCTTTTAAGCTCTGCATGACTTTATTATAGCTCATAACCAAGTTACGTTAGCAAAAATATGTTCATGGCCTGCGTTCCTTTGAAGAGGTGCTCAAGGCATCTTTACTCCAAGATAGCATCACGCCGGAACAATGTAGAAATAAAGATTACGAAGATGTTTCTCGGTGGCGCACTGCCACACTTCCTGTGACCTGTACTAGCATAGAACTTAGAACGAATGTGCAACTTGGCCGCACAGTCTGTGGCTGCTTTGTTTTACTGTAGATTGCGGGTTGAGCAGGTCCCGGCCGCTTGCAATGCACATGAGCGGGTCCGAGTCGGGTCGTGTTGTCCGCTGAGTCTGTGGCGAACACAGTCCAACTGCAGGGTCTGTATAGTGCATGATGCGAAGGCAGGAGCTGCCACCCTTTAGCCGGCCTCTTGGAACACCCACTTTACTCTCCGCTCACTATGCCCACCAAACTCCTCCACAAGTTGTCACGTCACGTGACCTGAATCTGGTGCTGAAGAGTTTTGGGCTTCGGAGTAAGTTAGTACCGATGTTCATGGCTTAAGCCATCTTTCCAGCCGGTTTACGAGACTCCGTTCTGGACCTCGGCCAGATTGTCAGATACGAGGACGTTGCGGCGAGGGCTACGAGCTGTCCGCCAAGTACCGACAATTGCCTGTGCCTCTGGCCGGCACGAGTCCTAGCAAATGGAAGCCAACATTCCTCCATGTACATTCGGCCACATCGCCCTAGAAGCTGGCGCATGTACCGCCGCTCTGGCGGACCCGACGCGAGCGGCAGGTACATCCGGTTGCACGGGTCCCCGGAGAGTGGAGCGCCTCCGCTCGGGCTCGGAGGAGACAAGCCCCCATCGACGGAGGAGCCGCTCCTGGTGTGGTCCGCCCCCAGCGTCCGTCCCCGGTGTCCGCCCCCGGTGTCCGCCCCCGTTGTCCACCCCCGGCGTCCGCCCCGGTGTCCGCCCCCGGTGTCCGCCCCCGGTGTCCGCCCCTGGCGTCCGCTCCCGGCGTCCACCCCCGGTGTCCGCCCCCGGCGTCCGCTCCCGGTGTCCGCTCCCGGCGTCCTCCCCAGGGCCACGGCGCGCTCGGCGCGGGGAATCTCGGGTTTGACCAGATACGCCGCCCGTGCTGTACCGGGACAGGTGAGTTGCTTTAGCAGGAGAAGCAATCTGGGGCTAAAGCGGGCGGAAGTGGCTGCCGCGGCACACGGACAGCACAGTGTAGCACGGACAGTGCAGCAGAGGTATAACACAGGCGGTGTGTAGCATCGCGCACGTTGACGCGCGTTCAAACCGTAGATTGAGTCTACCTGAATTCGTTTCACACAGCCTCAAGTTAACGTGCCAAGTCAGATAATGGCACATAACAAATTTCAGTCACGAACAATTCATAGTTGCAGCAGGAAAACGGCGCGTACTTTGCGAAATGTACGTCGCGTACCAAGATACCTCTACTGACAGCGACCCACAGGTGGTAAAACGGAAGCATGAAGAGCACGGGGCTTTACAACGACTACGTTATCCAGGCCCAGCCATTCTCCGCGAGGACACGAAGCAATTACACATTGCAATTCGAAACCATCCGCGAGTCGAGCTTATCATCGGGCCAGAGCAGTGCGCTGGGACGCATTCAAACGGAACGCCGCCTGCATAATTCAGGTGGCTGATCACGGGGGCGGCCGTCGAACCCCGCGCCCGGCGCCGACGGCGTCTCACCGGCGAGCACGTGTACGGTGACCATGACCTGCTCCAGGCCGTCCGGGTCACAGAAGTACGCGCCAGAGTCGGCCGGCAGAGGCGCGCTTGATGATCACCGAGCTGACCGTGCGCTGGCGCTCGTACGAGGTCCGCACGCGCACCCCAGTCCGTGACCGGTCAAACTCCACCAGCTGCGGGGCAGGTGCGGGTACGTCAGGCCACGACAGGTCAAACTCCACCAGCTGCGGGGTAGTGCGGTACGTCAGGCCACGACAGGTCAAACTTCACCAGCTGCGGGGCAGTGGGGTACGTCAGGCCACGACCGGTCAAGCTCCACCAGCTGTGGAGCATTGGGGTACGTCAGGCCACGACAGGTCAAACTTCACCAGCTGCGGGGCAGTGTAGTACGTCAGGCCACGACCGGTTAAACTCCACCAGCTGCGGGGCAGTGGGGTACGTGAGGTCACGACCGGTCAAACTCCACCAGCTGCGGGGCAGTGGGGTACGTGAGGTCACGACCGGTCAAACTCTACCAGCTGTGGAACGGCGGGGTACGTCAGGTTACGACCGGTCTACCTCCACCAGCTGCGGAGCGACATAGTAGGTCAGGTCACGACCGGTCAAACTTCACCAGCCGCGGAGCGGCGAGGTACGTCAGGTCACGACCGATCAAATTTCACCAGCAGTGGAGCGGCAAGGTACGTCAGGTCACGATCGGTCAAACTTCACCAGCTGCGGAGCGGCAAGGTACGTCATGTCACGATCGGTCAAACTTCACCAGCTGCGGAGCGGCGAGGTACGTCAGGTCACGACCGGTCAAATTTCACCGGCTGCGGAGCGGCGAGGTACGTCAGGTCACGACCGGTCAAATTTCACCAGCTGCTGAGTGGCGAGGTATGTCAGGTCACGACCGGTCAAACTTCACCAGCAGCGGAGCGGCGAGGTACGTCAGGTCACACGGTGATACAAGAGAAACAAAAATGAATCGCAGACATGCATAACTGATCTTGAGCTGAAATGCATGAGCTGAAATGCAATGGATTATTGGCACCACGGCGATGCATTTACTGCACATTTGTTGAGCTGGAAGGCACATATTCCGCCGAGCCCGTGCACATTCAACGCCGTCTGAACTAATCGAACGCTCCCTATTGTGTACCACTCATGTTTTGAGTGCTCCACGGGCCCTTCTGCATTGTGCATTGCCCGTTCGAATAACAGGAGCGTAGACAAGGCAGTAAACCCAGCAGTGGCACCCGACGCACCGGAACACCAACATGGGAGCGGGTGCACCGGTATGAGCACTTGAGCCAACAATCGCCGTCTCCGTGGTGCACGGCATAGATGCTAGGCTCGCACTCCGACAGCAAGGAGACGAGTCCCAGTAGGGCACACCGTACAGTGGGGTTACCATAGGGAGGACAGCCGGCCCCTGGCCGAGGAGGCTCGGCCAAGCCCGGTATGATTGTACCATTAAACTGTGCGGCATATAAATACTGCAGCACTGTACGGCGGTGCAAAACCCTTCGCATCTGTGCGTGTGGCAAAAGGCCCGAAGCAAAGTTAGCTGATGAACTGGAGCACTACTTCTTGGGCAGTGGGCTCGAAGTTAGCTGATGAACTGGATCACTACTTCTTGGGCAGTGGGTTCGAAGTTAGCTGATGAACTGGAGCAGGACTTCTTGGGCAGACAGAGGGTTCAAGGTGTTCGTGACAAAGTTCGCCCAGTGGGTGTTGGAAACATTAGCTAATAGATGCCCGTGCAAGCCAATCGAATGAATTGAAAAACTCGACGTTGCACTCTCTTAAGCATCAACTTGCTTCACATCCTTGATAGTTGCGAAGTGTATACAAGTCCTGGTCATGTTCATTGAACGTCATTTTAACCAAACTGTTCAAAACAATTTCCTTCTAAATAATGAAACCACGAACTCCCAGCTTGTTTGTGAATGGCTGCAGTTTTGTAATTGAGAACATGACAAACTTACTGCCTTACTGCGGAGCAAGCATTTAACTGTACGTTAATGCGTTTACTGACGAGCTCGAGTGTACAGCAGCCGACATTCGAACAACATACATGCAAAACGAACAAGCTGTGATTGTGCTGGACAGTCATCCAATGCATGTAAAGCGCATTGACAAGAAGACATTCGGTGGGAATCGCTTTCATCCTGCGTTATATATAATATAAAGGAAATAAAACACATCGATCGTTGGTGGTAGGTTCAACATGATATTAGTTCGCGGGTAGTGCCAGTGATAGGAACCATCGATCAATGCGTCCGTGGAGGTATCGGCACTTTGTAGGTAATTGGCTTAGTACGACCAATTCCAGCAAACGTCATATCCCCGAGTGTTCATGATAAATATCGACGTTCAATTACTGGGCAAAACAGGAGTGGCTAGCCGGTTGGATACCGAATGAGCGCGAGGATTGCGCAAGGACTAACTTGAGAGGACTTGCGAAAGGAGCGCAAGGATTTATTCATTGCGCAACAACGCAAGGAATAAACGTACTTATCAAATTACAAGGAAAACAAAATGGTGAGTCTACCTGTATTAACGAATAGCCCGATATTTAAATCGATATCTGCGTTTCAATTTATCGAATTAGAGCCATGTTCTCAAAGCTGAAATGGCATTGTATTTACTATAGCATAATGCCATATACATGTGAATATATATATATATATATATATATATATATATATATATATATATGCATTATTGTATTATTATATTATTTTATATATTGTTATCTTATATATATATATATGTATATATATATATATATATATATATATATATATATATATATATATATATATATATGCATATATATTTAAAATGACATTTTGAATGGCATTATATTCACACCGGCTGTGATTGTTGGCCCTATGTATGGCCCTCTCGCCCACGAAGCCCATTATCATCACAGCATCGGCCGCCGCGGGGCAGGCGAGATTGATCGAAACGCTATTGACGCATGCTGTGCCGCACGGCTTACTCCACGACGGGTCAGCCTAGTATCAGTAAACAACGCACCGTTCCCATCCAGTCTAAATGAGCATTAATCGGGCGCGCAGGTTCCCATTCAATGCGGGGGGAGGAGGGGGGAGGGGGGGGGGGGTGGTAGGCAGGTTCTTCCATCCACCCCACCCGCCCCCAATCTCAAACCTGAACTTAAGTCCTCCTAACTATGAGGAGGAAGTGGTCCTGATGAAGGGAGAAACCGGCTTGTTGGCGAGTGTTATGGGACAGGTTTCGTCATTTTTCACTGCTCGGCCCGTCCAACATATTTTACGAAATGGCACCACTGCCACAACAACCTTGACTTGGAATTGAATATGGGTGCATTTTACTCGCGTAAGACAGCATTTTCTTACTTGCAAATGGTTCGCGGCGGCGCCCTGCACTACGAACTTAACTCTTGCTGGATCTGTTTGTGGATCCAAAATGGCTAACACCAAATCATCAGATAGCTTCAATAACTATAGTGACGCATCGTGCATACTGATAGCGAGTTATTACCAGCATGACAACCTGTTATATGTCGTTTCAACTGTCCCTACGCATGCAACTGCATCATCATCACAGACAAGCAATGCAGCTGCAATGCTGCAAGAATAAACAGCACTCGTGCGGCGCCCAGAGCGCCAACTTTATCAATCGGAACTGCGGCTGTTGAGCCGTTGGTTTTCAGCCGGCATGTCAAGAACGCGGCGATCCGAAAGCTCGATCAAGATAACAAACAACTTAATCAAGAAGGTATCGATATCCTATAAACGGACCGAAAGTCGTTAAGCGGCTAATGCTAGAAAACAAACGCGAACGTGGGATATCGAGATGGGCTTGGACCAAATTTGGCCACCCAGTAACTATAGAGTCTGGATTTTAGGAGACAGCCCAAGCTCTCAATCTGGCAATTTCGGCGTTTATGATGTTGACGAGCTGGAGCATAGCGCTGATAGGACATGAAATGCTTCTAATAAACCAAGTTTAGTAGTGGTATTTTCTATAATGGGGCGTAAAATTTTGCACAACCTTCACGAAACAAAAGTTGAGTGCGAAGCACTTGGCTGACAAAATTCTCAGACATAGAAGAATCAGAGATCGCCATTGCGTTGTTAACAAACAACTCCGTGGACGGCTTCACTTGACGCCTGATTTGCCGTACGACTAAACATTTGCATCGTAAGTAACATAGCCCGCCACCCCTTAAATAGCATTGCCTAAAGCGTAGTATGGCAAAGCGCATACAGGCATTCGGGCCTCGAATTATACTGGCCATGCATCCCCGGTCCTGGTGAAAGGCCTGTTGCATACTGCAGACGCACGAGGACGAAAACAGAATGTATTTGCCGGAGCTTATAACACGAAGTCCCGGTAATCACAGGGCGCTGAAGCTAGGCTTAAGACGCGATGCGGAGGGGATGTCTGTAACCTGGTGACCCAGCCATCACACGATCCCGTTCAGTCACAAGACTGCTTATACGTCCATCACATCCACATGGACACCTTGACGCAGTCTGGCGTTCGCTGGACGCGCCACTGCCGGCGGCGGCGCGACCTTCACTGACCTTGTCATCATGCGTCCAGCGCACATTCTCGGGCACCTTGTGCGCCCGGCGGATGACGCAAGTGAGGTTGGCTGTGCTGCCCTGGTTGATGTACAGCTCAGGCCCACCCAGGATCTCGACGTCAGGCTCTGTAACAGGCGTGCGCGGAGCTGGTGACAGCGGTTGTAAATTTTAACTAGCAAAGTGATCGTAGGGGTGGGGCGCCATATCTGCGCCGGCCTGGCCGTTGCCCAAAGCGCGGGCTGCGACCGGCCACATCACGCCTATCGGGACTTCAGGACGTGTTCGGCAGATGAAACAGTGCGACCATCCTGCGTTCGTGATGGCCATGTGATCTGCTTGATGGCGTGGCGGTGGATCGTACTCTATGGTGTCATTTATCGCTGTAGGTAGACTCCAGGCTCAGAAACAAGTCAGGAAAGCGAACTGAAGCTTTCAGCGCAGATTGATGCGAACCACAGATTGAGCCCTCTTAATTGAGCTCTGGCGTGACGTCACCATATGCGCAAGCAAAGCTTAGCAAGACACGTCTAAACGAGACGGATTAAACCAACCGCGGCGTCTTACCCACCCCGTGATGGCACACCGTGACGTAAAGAACTGCGCGAGACGGTAAGGATGTGCCAGGGTAAAGGCTGCTGTCAGGGAGAGAGTTACGTTGATGACAGTTTTTACGACGCTGGAATTATCTTTTTAGAACAGCGAGCTAGTACTCCTGAGCGAAAATAATCAAAACGGTCTTAGGAGACATTTTTAATTATCTGAAATATTCTCGGTCTCTCCCTTCAGCCATTCCTCCCGTAGCTGTGAAATCAATCCACGGAAATTAAGCATCCATGCTGGGATGACCGATAGGGCTGTCTTTCACAACTTGAGAGGAACTCAAAACGGTACATGCACTGAGAAGTTCTCATTCTCTTGCCATTTCAGTCTTACGAACCTTAAAGCGCACGTCAAAACGCGCGTGACAGCTTATTTGATCAATACTTGCAAGTCATGTTAAGTAAAATTAATTTAAAAATTGTGTTCAAACTGGCACAGATGTACATATGCATTGTGCTAAAAATGACCGACTTCTGAAAAGGTTAGTGGCACGTCTACCCATAATAGTTGCTATGTATTTTGCCTTGCTATTTTTCGGTACTTGATTATTTTGCTATGTCATAAGTGATGGGAGCAATTTTTCTCAACTTTAACTAGTGCAACTAGTGCCATTTACCAAAAAGCAAAAAAAAAAAACCACACACCAGCACACAGACAGGCTCACAGTGCTGGAGTGCCACTGTCCATTCGTCGGCACTTGGTAGACGCAGTCTTTGAATGGCTTGGCGAGCAAAACAAAACTCAGCATTCATGGTTCATGAGCTGTAATGCAAATGTGTCTTTCCAGAGTTAACAACCTATTTTGTACAGCAAACGGGCACCCTAAGATGTATGCTCCTTCTACAACACACGTTCATGCCATGGAGAGGCATCTATTTTCATGACTAAGTTATATTCCCTGCAAAATAAGAAGGATAGCAAGAAAATTGGTAGATATGGAAATTAACAAACCGAATTATCGAGGCATTCATTACGACTAGTCCCGACTTACTTATTTCTTTGCGTTACAAAAACGAGTCAATGATACTTCAGTACTACAGGCAACAAGGTTGGAAGGAAACTTTTGTACATGGTGTATACTATTTAGCACACGAACGAAGTAAGACATCATTTTTATTTTCACGTTAAAACCTAATACCTCATCTCGTTTAGTTGAGAGAGAGAGAGAGCGAGAGAGAGAGAGAGAGAGAGAGAGAGAGATAGAAAAATAGAGAGAGAGAGAGAGAGAGAGAGAGAGAGAGAGAGAGAGAGAGAGAGAGAGAGAGAGAGAGAGAGAGAAAGAGAGAGAGAGAGAGAGAGAGAGAGAGAGAGAGACCGGGACCGGACCCGGACCCGGACACGGACACGGACCCGGACCCGGACACGGACACGGACCCGGACCCGAGGGACCCGAGGGACCCGAGGCCCGAGGACCCGGACTCCCGACCCTGACGAGGACGCTAATCAGGCTCCGCTCGACGTGGGGAGCATTCTAGACCGTGTCAGCGCCTCATATGCGGAACATAAAATCCAATGTGCGGCGCCAATGCGCACATGCCATCGATTTAGTCGGGGTGCCCAGCGCCTGACCGTCGGGGTGCACAGACTGCGCACTGTCGTACCGCGAACTAAGCGGCTCACGGTGAGCTTCTGAGAAGCCAACTGGGCACCTGCGCTAGTGGATCCTGCGAGACGGCAAAACATTTCACAAAGAGGGCTCAAATCCTGGCGGGCAGCTGGGATCGGTCAGGGCTCTAAACACCTGTAACGAGCCCGCGGACGGCGACACCCTCAACTCTTGGCCCTCCCAGCGACGCAAGGGCGTGGGAGATGTGTGCCTCTCGACTTGGTCCTGTGACAAGCCTCGCGACCAAGTTCATCACTCTCTGGACTCGAGATGGGCGGCACTGGGTGGCTGTGTCTCGAATAGATAGGCAGTAAAGGCAGTGGCAAACATGCGGGCCTGGACAAGGGGCTTGGGAAAATGGGGCGTTGGCAAAGTTATGGAGGGATCAAAGAGCAGGTTTAAATTTCCGGGCGACGAGGAATATGGGTTGCTCCCAAATCAAATGCTGGCTGAGCAGTACACTTGAACTCAGCCAGCAGGGGACACTTGAGCTGCTCAGCCAACAGCACACTTGGTGCACTGCTGGCTGAGCAGTAAACCAAGAACCTGTGCCGAGTGGCGAGGTGAGATGACGGCGCATGACGGAGTGGTGCGAAAATTTGAAGGCTCTTGATTACAAAGCGACATGGTGATGTCGGACTCGCTGTTTCCATGTCGAGGTTATCAACATTGACTTTGAGACAGTGTTTCGTGATGTACTCACCGACCACATTCAGGTGAGGCAGTGCCTCACAATGCACTCACCAACCACAATCGGCAATGAACGGCATACTTCTCAGTGTATTCACCAACCAGTCAGGTGAAAACACGTGGTATGCATTGTCATCATGCGCATGACGTCATAGCTTACTCACCGACCACGGTCAGATGTAGGTAGTGCGACACCGGTGGCGAGGTGCTGACCTGGCAGAAATACCAGCCAGCGTCGGCGTGCCTCACGGAGAGGATCCGCAGGCCCCAGTCCTCGCTGTACTCCTGGTGGAGCGGCTGGAACCGGCGGTCACCGGTAAACAGCATCAGCCCGCCGGTCAGCACTTCGAAACCGCGGCCCCAGGACACCTGCGGACAGGCACCACAATGTGACGACACACGAACAGGTGGTGTTTCAGGAGCGGCGATAATGTTATGTAAGGGAGAGTGGGAAATGTAAAGTATGGCTGGTTTGAATCTAACAGGATTCACAGAAAGAGAGAGAGAGAAAGACAGAGAGACAGGGGAGAGAGGAGAGAGAGACAGAGAGAGAGAAGGAGAGAGAGAGAGAGAGATGAGATGAGAGAGAGAGAGAGAGAGAGAGAGAGAGAGAGAGAGAGAGAGAGAGATTATAGAAGCATACAGAAGAAGAAGAGAAGAGAGAGAAGAGAAGAAGACAGAGAGAGACGAGAGAGAGAGACAGACGACAGAAGACAGACAGACAACAGACAGACAGACAGACAACGAGACACGACAGACAGACAGCAGATCAGAGAAACAGCAGACAGAGACATGAGACAGAGAAGAGACATAGAGAACAGACTACAGAAAGACAAACATAGATGAGAAAGAAGAGAGATCAGAAGAGATAGACAGGATAGAGAGAAGAAGCAGACAGAAGACAGACAGAGAATAGAGACGACAAGATATTAGACCGACAGACAGTAGACAGAGAAGAGACAGTACAGACAGCAGACAGACGACAGACATAGAAGACATAAGAAAAATGAACAACTATGAGAAAAAGAATCGAGTGAGGATAGAAGAAGAGGCAGCTGGTCAGATATAGCCGGAGACAGTGAGAGAAGGGTGTAGAGACATAAGAGCCTGCCGAGGACGCGTACTGGATGGGCAAACGAAAAATACAGAAAACCAGTCACCGCAAGGAAAGAACAATAATAGTGGAATAATGAAAACAAAATACAAACTTATATTGTGAGACTCAAGAGGGCAAAAGCATGAAGAAGTGCACTTGAAGAGTAGAGATCAGCTTTTGCGTCAGAGACGCTTTCTTCTGATATACATTATGTTTGATTGCTCACTTAACGGGAGAGCGCCACTTTCTGAAACCATCGTGAAAACCATCAACGGGACAGCATTCAAGCGCCGTTACGAGAGATGGCACTTGCAGAGGTATAAGGGCCATACAAATTTTAACGTAAGAAAATCATTTGATTATAGTAGTGGCTGTCAGATAGTTGAAAACATATGGAAATAATAGTCCCACTTGCTGTTTCGAAGAAGAAAGCCGACCTTTCAGGAAGGCATACACAAAATACACTTAACGTACTACATTTCACGAATGTGACTGGATGCATGTTCAAAATAAAACACTGCTAAATTCAGCCTCAATTGACAGGTGATTCTCCTCATTTCATACACATTTCGGAAGAGTGAAATGCTCTCCACTTGTTTCTCAAGGTACACTTATTGTAAATCAAATGAGGTGAATGTTTTTTTTACCTTCAGTGTAAAACTAAGCTCATCGCTAAGAAACTGTTCAGCCAGAATGTATCAGCTGACTAGAAGGCATTAGTTTCCGTCAAAGTATATAGCTCCTTCCAAATTGCACGCGAAGGAACACTCAAGACTAAAATTATAAAGTCTACCGAAAACTCTGGGCAGCAGATTTGTTCCCGTAGGTATGGTGGCACACTTTGGTAACTTGCAAGACAAAGTGGTGGTATCTTCAAGGGCGAATCCAGAATACTGTCTTCGGCGCTAGTGTAAGCGTGAAGGCCTAACCCACGCACTGTCGAACGACGCAAAGATTCCGCTTCTTTTCGCATCGAGAAAGAATACAGAACGTGCTTTCCTGAGAAAAGTTATGTATATTTTCGTCAATGTCTAAGCGTCTTTTTTGTCGGACTTGGGCCATGTGGGGGAGGGGGGGGGGGGGGCGTCACGGCATAGTTGGTCCGACTGGATCCAACTTTGAGTATCTTGTGCACACATGGCTGAAAAAGAAAACCTCCGCTCACTGGATTACGTAAGACAGCCTAGGTTAATAACTCTTGTGATATAGTGAGGCTCCGAATTGTAGATAACATGCTCCTTGTGGTGACATTACTTCCTGTGGTACAAATCAAACATTTCTCCCTGTGGTGAATTCTGCCCATATTTTCCCGTACACCTGCCATGTGTACCATGAGGTAACCATAATCACCTCCCGTGTACCTGCCATGTGTACCACGAGGTAACCATAATCACCTCCCGTGTATCTGCCATGTGTACCACGAAGTAACCATAATCACCTCACATGCAGTAAATCACCCACCAGTCCCTAAAATCCCTCCGTTGTTGGCAGCTGAATCCGGACATCCTATGGTTTATCTTTCTTAAGAGGATAAATACTGAAGGTATGTTTTGCTCTTGAGTAAAGGCCGCTTCACACCGGCAGCGGGGCGGGCGAGCGGAGCGGGGGCGGAGGGAGGGCGGAGCGGAACTGCCAGCAGAGGGCGTACACTCAGCGGGCGCACGCTCAGCACGGGCGCTTGCCCAGCGACCCGTGACCCCACCCGCTGTTGGCAAACAATGATGTGCAACGTGAAAATAGCATCTTATGTCAGCAAAGGCCGGGCATACCAATGACACAACAATGTAAATCAACTGTGAAATGTGCAATGTTTATCCCTCATTGCATTGTCAGAAATTCCGCAAGATGAAGAGTAACAAATTCAGTTACTGACTTAAAGTTGGCGGACAAATAATGCAAATCAAGGTACGTCTATTGGTTAGCAAGACCAAGGACTGAGGGGACGGATGTAGAACTGATAAAACGCAGCATTGGGAGTGGAATTTCGGTGGCTTGGACGGCGTTGGAGACCACAAACATTGCTTTCGTGCACCGCAGGAGTGAACATCACATATAAAACCCTAAAAATATAAATAAAAATGCGTTAATGGGGTGCACGATTTAACAAAAATATGAATATAATAATAATACATAATATGAATATAATAATTTGCTGTTATTTCTGACCATGAGTTTTCTTCTGTTCTGTTAATGACCTGTGTGCCACATCATACAGCCATCTGTAAATTTTGATAATTTTCAGTACTTGCTTATCTTCTTCTACACTCCAAAGGGACATATTCAATGGTAACTAATGTTATGCCAAATGCATAGGACAAGATCTCTCTACAATAGATGAAACAGGCCCATGCATCATGTACCCATTGAAGACTGATAAATTTATAACAACTATTTATAGTCGTGTAGGTAATCAGATCGGAAAGATTTTATCCCAACGCCAAATATTGGCTGGAAACACTACCAATGTCGTTGACAACACGTAGACAGATCATTCAGAGCCCATTTTCATAATGCAGAACGCACATGTAAATCTTAATATGTAGGGAAAAGCGTCTGCATGGCCCACATTCTCAGATTCCAGAGTCAAATTTGCCTTGGCTGACTGCCAATATTAGCATAAAATAAAGCCGGTAGCATGAAACATTCGGCATTAGGATATGTGCAAATTATGCAAATGCATAGTGACTCCAAAGTTTTTTAACATACTTTAACGCTGTACTTCTTGCCCAAAAATGTTAGCTAGGTTGGTCTTAAATACCTTTGATGGAATACTTCAAATCAATATAACAGCTCAGCACAGAGTTTATTAGGCCCTCGTAGGTGGGTGCACCAGAATTATTTACATTATAAATGCCATGACATTTTTGGCTCATGTATGTATTCGGAGTTATGGTTTCCAGTTAACTATGCTTCAAACTGAGTTCAATAGAAGGCAACGCAGCACCAAATTTGCCTGCTTATTACAATAAACGTCTTACCACTGTTACAAACGAGCAAAATACAATGAGCATGACTCTCATGCAAGAGCTATGTCCCCCGAACAATTTCAATGCCAATACGGTTTCCATTGACATTCGTGTTGGTGCATACAAGAAATGTCATAGCTTTCTGACACTAATTCGTACGTAGAAACAATGAATCTAGTTCACACAACTAACTTAAAAGCGTAGTGCTACGTAACCAGCTAGACCAGACCTTCAATGGAACAATTTTTTGAAAGAAAAGGTATTCGGCCCATCAGCATAAAATAAGACGAAGATCAATGAGTCAGTGAATAGAATCCATTAAAAGGATATCATTGACCACAAACGGGACGTCCGCCACCTTGTTTTCACCGTTACAACGGTCTGAAATTGTGTAACTTCTGAGCTTGCGCTTGCGCCCCGTTTAAAAAGATAAACGGAATCAACCTTTCCAAGCTGGCCCGCGAACGTAAAAATGCGAGGCTCACGCCGCGAAGATAAGAACACGAGCGTAGACCGTTCGGCCGCAATGCTTTTTCCACTTTTCCTGCCCCGCTCCGTTAATGTTTCGTTTACGTTCCGCTCATCCCGCTCCCGGTGTGGACCAGGCTGAAAGGGAGTGTTTCACATTTGTATAGGGTCTTGAGCTGGAATAGCCACTTGAAGATCATTCGATACAAGTCACAGACCTACCCTTCTTAAGACCCAAACCCCTCCAGTTTCTGAGCTACACGCCCGCAAAGATGTGCAGACTTTTCGGGAGGACTATTTCAAGGTCGCCCAGGCAACACGATACCATGAAAACGTCATTCAAATCCTGCCATTCCATTGCCTTTCCGCCCATCCACGCCAAGGAAAATGTGACTGACGACTCAGTTATTCATGTCTGGTGTATGTGAGCACGGTTTACAGATCTAGCAGTCATTTATTGGCTCTTAATCGACATTACGTAAGGTACGATGACGTAATCAACCAATACGTATTGAGGACGACATTAGCTAAGCAAAAAAACATGATGTTTAGAGCAGTCTTTTGCGCTGAAAAGTATACCGTTAGCTATAAGTGAGCTTATTTCATCATATCTGATGCTTGCCTCAACATCTTGGGAGGTGGAGCATTTCCTTTAAGTGCATTGGTATCCGGTTTGTGTGCGAGCTGGGACAAAAAGCAGATGGATGCACTTGCCTCGTAGCTGATTGCAGTCCGAGGCAAAAAGGCTTTCCAATAGCATAGAAATCAAACTCGGTGCGCCCTTCAATCCCGGAAACTTAAAATCAAGATATTTATATATATATATATATATATATATATATATATATATATATATATATATATATATATATATATATATATATATATAGGCTTGCAATAACCGGAAAAAGAAGGCCTTTCGAGCATGCTAAAATACCTACTACAAAACTGTTGCCGCTAATAATGAGACAAAGCGCTTGCTACCAAACCAAACCGTCAAATGTGACTACGACATGCAGCCGCCTTCGTCAGGTGCCCCAAACCATGCCTCGAGGCGAAGTGCAAGCGGTGGGCTCTCGTCCAGCGGCGCCGGCCACCCGCGGCGCTGGGGCGGCGGCGGCACAACACGACATTCACTTACTACCTGACGCGAGGCCATCCACCGCACGCGACAGTTGAGAATGACGGACCCGTTGACGCGAGCCGTCACGTTGCCAGAGTGCTCCTCGACAAACTGGGGTCCGCGCGGCGCCGGCCCACTGGCTGCGCCTGCAACAGGGATGGGTCGAAGTCAGCGCTTGAGAGCGGGCGCTGGACGCAGCCACAGAAAAGGCTCCACTTCTCCGAGCCGTTATTGGGATACCACTTCGCGATGCCTGAACCAAATGTAGCCGGACCGTGGAATATCTGGCTGAAAATCTGAAAACATTCTGAAGCATCCTCAGCGTTGAGAAGTGAAAGGGAAAGTCAGGGCGAAAAAGGAGGCGAAGCCTCACGAGTGCAGGATGTTTTGTTCGTTTCCGACACAAGTTTACAACAACGTGGCGACTGGCTAGTGCATCTTAACAATCATATTCTCGGTTGGATGGTCTGTGGGGCCCGCAAGATATATAAACACAGCCACCCACCGCAAAACTTATGCCACCAAACTACCGGCAACTTCATACTTATACCCGGCGCTCCTGCGATTTAAGAGGGCATCATAAACATCGAGCACGCGCGCGCGCGGCCTGATTACTAGCGGGGCCATCGGCGTCAGTCGGCGAGCTCGGAACCCATCCTTCAACTCTGCGGCTGACTCACAGGAGGTCCATCAATAGCCGGGACCCGAATTCGTCCGCGGCCACCATCTATACTCTGTATCACCGACATCGAGCCGGATGGGCCATTTGTTTTCATCGCCTCGATACGAGCGCCACCTATTAGCAGCATGTCGAACTGAACTGGGTCTGCAGTTGATCGATCATACTGACGATGATCTGCTACTCTATCCAAGCGGCGCTGGGCGTTTGTTTTGTAATTCCGCAAATCGGAGCTTTTCGAATCCTTCTAGCATTCTCAGGAGGTGCGTGATGCCTCACAAAAAAATGCCTGAAGGTTGGATCCGGGATGCGGATCGAAGCAGAATGTCCTTTGGCCAGACGAGCCCCGATGTAGCAGTTCCGATGGGACAAAACTTTCCCTAGATTGCCAATTGATAACCACAAGTGCCGTTCTCCTAGAAACCTTGACGCGAATATAGTATTTGTCGAGTTATTTATCTGCACGTGCAGTAGAGTATGAGTGCAGTAAGAGTGTAGCATGAGTGCAGGCATGAATGAAGTCTTACTGCAGTATTGCTCGTTAAATAGACATTCACGCACGTGCCCCACCGAACCGCCGGTCTGGAGATACTGATTACCTGCCGCCGATTCGGTTTGAGTCCGGTCGGTCAGATGAAGTTTCATAGAGAGTTTAGCTTTCTCTGTTAACGACACGCATCGCCAACAATCTTATCATCATCGGTGTTTAATTCAATGGCAACCGCTGCAGTAGTACAGCCGAAAACCTATTGTTCGAAAGGATCAACTCCACTAGATGCGTAGGGTGGTATTCAGTTTATAGCACGCTTGCCTTCTCCCGCTTTACCAACTTTGAAGGGAAAGTGAGTGAAGTCCGTACAGAAAACAAACTTTGCGTGAAGATTGGATTTAAAGCGACCAAAAACCGGCCAAACGGATGCATTCTTAACACAAAACGCAACAAAATTGGACGTGTTTGGGCTTCCAGGCGTCCAAGAATGGTCGACAGCGAAAGTGAAAGGTCCACAAGTGGACAAAAATTGTTCTTCGCTGGTTGCGAGGGTCGTGATTGGGCAATCATAGGGCTCGCTACCATGCCGGGCCGTTCTTGTCAATCAGGGGCATTCCATGGATTCTTCCCATTCACTCGAAAAGCTCTATACGCTATAAGCGGGCCCCATATGTTAACCAGCCGGGGTACATTCGATCGCTCAGGGGCCATTCACGTTGGTATCGCTTAACCTACCAACACACTCGCGATATGCTCATGGGCCCTCTACACCGGTCTAGGGCCCCTCCCATTCTCTGTCACTTGATTAGGGCCCTTCGCTCTTGCCGGGGCCCATCTGTTATACTGCTTAGGCACACTCGGTCCTTCGGACCCCTCCAAATTGTGTCTTGGGTGCTTTCAAGTTCAATGGACGGACTTACACTTTTGTCGGGACACCCATCTGTTTACCTGTTCGGGCACACTGGATTGTTTGGGGGTCCTACACATTGGGTTTTTGAATGGAGGGCCTTACGTTCCTGTTGGGGCCATCTGATAACCTGGTCGGGTACACTCGATCTTTCGGGGGCCCTCCACGCCGGATCTTGGGTACTTCTGAATTGCATGGAGGGCCCTTCGCGCTTGTCGTGGTCCGTGTACTGTTAGCCCGCTCTTGCACACTCTGTCGCTTAGGAGCCCTCTACATTGTGTCGTGGGTATTCTTTATCTGAATGGGGGAGGGGGGCCTATGCTTCCGTCAGGTTTCATCTGATAAACTGCTCGGGCACACTCGATCCTTCAGGAGCCCTCCATGCTGCGACCTTGGCACTTCTTACCTGAATGTATGGCCCCATGTTCTTGGCATGGGCCCTATGGGCCTATGTTCCATGCCATCTAATAGGTGACTTTGGGCCCATCTATTGAGTTGCTCAGGCCGGTGGCGGACACAGAGGGGGGGGGGGGGGGGCACGGGACCGTGCCCCTCCTTGTGCCTTGAGGGAACCCATATGCTCCGGAGGTACCATTACCGGCCGAACGGACGCAGTTTTCTAGCATAAAAACAACCAAATTTTGGCGTCTTTGGGCTACAGACGACACTCCTGACACTCTTGATCGATCAGCTTTTCCTCCGCGGATTCTTCCCATTCGCCCGAAAGGCCGCACTACGCTTTTCCGGAGCACTACATGCCAGGGTGCAGTTGCTCAAGCGCTCTTCACATTTGTGTCGGGTTCTTTCCACTTGCTCGGAGGGCCTTGTGCAGTTGCTTGTGCTGGTTCATGTAAGGTGAGGTACCGGAACACGCGATGCTCAGGGGCCCTCTACTTTGAGCTAAAGCTCTCTCCCTCTGATCCCATTTGCAGAGGACCACTCCCTCCTATCGGTCTCTTTCTTTTAACCTGCCCAGGCACTCTTCATCGCACAAGGCCATTAATTCATTACATTGTCTTCGATAGCTTCCCTTTGCCTAGATGGCCCTGTGGTCTGGCCGGGGCCCTGTTTGCTAGCCTGTCGGACGCTACCAATCGTCCAGGGGCGCACCACGTTGGTCTTGATTTCTTCTCGCTTGCTCTGAAGACCCTATGCATGTTGACGGAAGCCACTTTGGCGGCCTCTCGTGGCACCCATGATCGTCTAGGTTCCGTCCCTATTGCCCTTGATGCCTTAGCCATGTAGCAATCAGATATGCGCCGAGGAATTATCACGCGCAAATATTGACAGCAATTTTACGTGCCGCTTACGTCGTAGGTATCATTTCTCTTGGCTACTGAATGTGTGACACTTATCACACTTGTGCGTCATATTCGTAATACAGTTTGAGTACCAGAATATTTGCCACTCCTTTATGACCAAGGAAAAACTCTGCATTACTTATCAGCCATCAGCTGATCACATCTACCAGCCGGGTAGCCGTAAATAACATGATAAGTAAGTTCGTGTTTACGTTGATGGTATTTAGCAGCCAACTTTAGTTTATTTTGCCTGTTTTTCCAAAACGCTTGGAATAAAATGGCAGCATTTAAGATGATCTGGAGAAAAGGAGAGGCTCCCTACATGTGCATGCGCAGCACGCCCAGCTTTCCAGGGCTGTGCACAGCAAGATGGGTTCCCGAATTTATTATGTATGAATATATATATATATATATATATATATATATATATATATATATATTATACACGGGTGTGTGGGTGGGTGATACATGCTAGTTGTCTTAAAATTTGCTCGCCGGAATGCGATCATTTTTGGAGGAGGCTCCAAACTTCAGTGGACCCCACGATCTTGCGCCCCCGCCCTTGACGGAATCCTGGACCCACCCCTGCTTCCAGGGACTCCCCCAGTGAGTAATTACGCCGCTTATCGTCTCACACAGGCAATGGTATCTCTCCATGGACCACTGAGGTCAACCTAAATCGCCTAGAGTCAATACATCGACCTTAAACGACGGTAACACTGAAAGACCATTAACGCGAAGAATCCGCACCACCGTGTCCCTGTTTGTAAAGCTTGCACAGATGCCAACTAGCAAACGTTCGCGTAGTTTGGGTGGGCATACACGAGCTGAGTACTGTAAGCAATTGCTGTGCTGGAAAATTGTTGCTTTACATTTGTGAAACGGTGTTCTTCCCTTGGTGATGTTGTGATTTCTGGCTTGTTGTTTTAAGTAAGCCCGTCAGGTGGTCTATAAGATAATTCGACGCTTCATCACAAAATTAAACAGATCAAATACGGTTAGAAGTTTTCCAAATTGGGTCACTTGTTGTGTTGTAGGGGCAGGTCGGCACACTGAATACGGATGTTTTTTTGACGCATATTTGCTTGTACAGGCGAGGTTCGTTGCTTTCGCGGTTATTGCCATTTTATAACTGATATTTTTCAGTTTAGGATGTTTGAGGATAAATTTATTTTTAAACTAACTCGTTTGATCGTTGAGATTCTTCGGGCTGTGGACTCAACTCAAAATGGGCTAATCAAATGGTCAGGTCGCGTAAGGTCAAGTAAAAGGGCGTCACAAACAACCTTTTGTGAAGACGTTGACTCCCGAGATTATGCATGCTTGTGTTGGCTGCTTAGGTACAATTACTTGACGAGAGTCTTTTTATGTCACGTGGTCGGGGTAGTCGTTGGAAGTATCCCGAGCTATACTCGGTAACGTCAAAATTGCGTCACACTATCAAACACTCGGGAAGGTTTTTAGGTTAAGTCTGCCCTGCCTCAATGGATGCGCAACTTAAAATGACTGGTAAATTCCCGTTATTTGTCCTGACCTGTGACGTGAACATTGACCTGCAGTTAACAATTCACCATGAGCCGGGGTTGCATAATTCAGTGGCGTTATCTCCCAACTAAAACATCCCGATCGTTTGCCGAATTCTGGTGATATTCCAGGCAGCCTTAAACATCTGCCCCCCCCCCCCAACACAACACACACACACACACACACACACACACACACACACACACACACACACACACACACACACACACACACACACACACACACACACACACACACACACACACACACACACACACACACACACACACACACACACACCAGCATTGCGGGAACGGCAACCTCGCCGACAAAAGTCAAAATAACCGTGCACAACATTAAGTAAAGGAGCTGTGTTCAGATTAATAATCAAATAACATAAAGTCATCAGTTTTCGTGATGACTTACCCTTCGCAGGGGCGGGCGAGGGTGGCCCGCTATGATTATGAAACTTATGTGCGCCCAAGTGGTCCTTCTCTGAATAAGTGTCGTCACCTTGGCGCATTGCTAAATGTTTACCCAACGACTTTTCCTTGCTCATTTGACCCTGCACTCACCTTCAATGTTTCGTCAAGTCATGCCGCCCACAGTTCCGTCTGTGGCGTGTTGTTGGGATGCGTCTCATTTGGGGCGGCATCGACACTGCTCGCCCTTGGCTTCTACCTCAAAACAATTTCTAATCTAGATGGCCGAGTCCGCGCATTAGCGACTCATTACGGGCCTCCCGAGGAGGCGTATCTGAGCAGGATGCATTCCGTGGCGTCATATTCCGCTGTTATTTCCTGCGAGACGCACGCTGCCGGCCTACGCACGTCCGGCTTGTCACTCTGGGGATGCCGGTGCTCCAGTCGCGCCCGACAATCAACAGCAGCGCGGGTCGAGCACCCCACAATCAACAGCAGCGCGGGTCGAGCGCCCCACAATCAACAGCAGCGCGGGTCGACGCAATCCGGATGCCACTCCGGATGCCAAGAGCCGTTTTCTGGACGGAGCTTCGCTTGACGGAACTTATGAGGCGAGCCCGCGACCGAAATCCCCAGAGGTAAACACCACCTAAATTATGATTGAACGGAGTGCCGCGCTCGGAGCGACATGGTGCATAAAACATAACTGAAGGCCGCGAAGTGTTTTGCCAGTGCGTGAACATTAATACCGGCATTCGCGAGCGTAACGTTCACGCCAGTGAGCCGATTGGAAGATATCCATCGGATCGGGGTCACTGCACTTTGCCACAACAAGAAGATGCGTCGAGCAAATAAACAGAGATGGAAGCGCATTCCTTGGCCTGGTGCCAGCTTGGCAATATTTTGATACGCTCCTGATTAGGGGGATTGCCATTTCACGGGCAATAGGCACCGCAAATGACTATTTCCGGTTCGGGCTGCGGCGACGCCCTGGGACAAAG